CTTATGAACATGAGCACTTTTTACGAGTATTCTCATTAACTTAAAAACCGCTGTTTATGTGACTAGACACCTGAACATTTAATTGGAAGACACTATCCCCATCTTCAGATGGAGAGATTGAGTCATATCACACTATCCAAGCTGTCTACTGCATTTGAATTCTTGATGCATGGGTGTTTTTTTCAGAGCATCCAGGCTGTCCTCTGCTTATCTGCTTCCATGCCTTCATTTCGAAGTTCCCTGGGAGAGCTTTGTACCTCCAGGAGCTGTTGATGCCCCTGTCAAAGCTAGGTGAAGTGAGTAGCTCTCTACCAGCAGGCTCTGCCATGAGGAAATGGGAAGACCCATGTCTGTTTACCTACAGAGGTCTGGAAGGCTAGACTGGATGCTGCAGGCACTGCATTGGACACAGCAATGGCATCTTGCAGAAGCAGCAGACCTGACTGAACACGTCTTTCCCTGGGGTCTTTGTACCAGCTTCACCCTTGAAGGATTATATATCTAATTCATAAGAAAGGACTGCCCTAAACACAGTCTAGTCCTTGAGCCTTTGGACACATAAAACCAGTTTTGCTCCCACTGTTGCCACTGTGGGTCTTTCCTGGGTGGGCCTCAGTATTAGTTGTTCCAAAGGCAGGTGGACTTTCATGCAAACTAACCATGGGCTTCTGGTATGTGCTGACAGACAACTATGAGCAAAATGAAGGCCTCTATTCTTCATTCTGCCCCCGCAAATGACTAAAGTGAAGAGTCAACATAGCTAAGTGCCTTGAAATACCCTAAGTAGAATCCCCCAAATGATAGGATAGCTGTGAAGAAAATTGGTCTAGGTTAGAGAAGATTTGAGGATGTTTTGTTCTGTATGAATAAGTGGCAAGGCTCTGCACGGTTATTTTTGGTTTTGGTGGGGTATCTTTCAAGTTTTATATTTATATTTTCTAGCTCCTTCTGGATGTGCTGCCTGTGGTGTAACAAGCCTTTTTTTTTTCATCTACTATGATTCTTTGACAAGACAACTTCTCTTTAATCACTGTCAGAGACAGATTTAATTTTTAGGAGGCTTGATTAGTGTACAGGGAATTCATGGAAGAGCAACAGAGAGGATGATTTTGAATTCTAGCGAAAGATTAGAAGAACATAACAATGCATAAAGCTTGGCCAAGAGCCTAATGAACATGTTGATCTTCCGATACCTGATGGATGTGGTAAGGGTTTAGAGAAATTTTTCAGAATAGAACAATGGAATTAAAAACTGAGTAGTGAAAAAGGGAAAGAGAAAATATACAGATCTATTTTTGAACATCAAAACTTAAGCAGATCCCTTAATTAAAAAAAAAAAAAAGAAAAAAAGAGGGAATGTAAAAGCAAATGTAGCAATATAGTCAAAGTTGAATATCTAGCAACACTTTGTGAATCTCCAAGCTTTTGCATTTATTTTTAATTAGGCTGACCTTATGAGATTCTCACAGGGTATGTTCCGTGCAAGCCGTAAATACTGACACATGAGCTGGCGCTGATACAGGAGGAGCAAGATATGCGTTAGGCGGGAAAGTAATGTGCAAACTTGACTATAATACTTCCAGAAATGAAGCTGAATTGTTTTGAGATGTCACCGCAAAACATGGAAATATTGGGTTACTGGCATAACAGGAGAGATTTTACATAGCCTAATGAACCAAAGATGAGGTGATGGAGCAAAAGTTCTTTTTCTTCAATTCTGTCAGATGAGGAAGAGAGGAACTCTTATGAAAATGAAACTCGGTTTATAGCAGTAGATTTCTATTCACTAGTGAGGTTATTTTACTAGAAGCTGTTACCAGTACATTGCAATGTGCTGGGGGTCTCCACTTTTGCTAGCAGCAGCACAAGTGCCCTTCATTGCGATAGCAGAGTGGCTGCGAGCAAGCGGGATGAATCAATGCACTCCACTCAACCCAACGCCTGCAACGTGTTCATCTGTAAATCCAGCCAGAGGTAGAAAACGGGGACATAGATTTTCCAAGAAACCTTGCTTCTGCAGTATGACTGTAATTTAAATGTCTTTCCTGGCAATTAGTAATTTACTTCTGCCTCTGTGATGAGTATTACCTGGAAAAAAAAAAAAAAAAGACAGAGGAAGATCTTTGAGCAAGTGTTTTCGTATGGCAGTTTATATGTGGTTGTCACTTAATCGAAATAAATGTCTTGGCCATTTGTGATATGAGTTATTATTCCAATCTGTCATTGCAATGAATCCTCTTTTTCTGTTGTTTCCCAAATGACTGTGCATCAGGTAACTGTTTTTTCACTTGAAAGCAACAATTAGTTTAAGTGTGAAGGGTTATATTTCTTGCCTTCTGTAACACTCCGGTGGCTGCTGTCTTAACACGAAGATAAAATCACCAGTAAAAGCAGTGTTGGTTGGAAGTCTGCAAGAGTGTGATGCCAAAAATCAGTGAGTGGGRAAGAAATGGGAATTTTAATAAAGGGGCCTACTCTTTTTGGAGAATGTGAGCTTACCAAATGCAAACGAAGTGAGAGGCTAACTGTCTGATCTTCCTTGCCATTTTCAAAATCTGAATTTGAAATTAACTGCAGGTGATTTTAATTAGATGCAGGGAAYATTAATTGGAAATCTTGTCTGTGTGATTATGGGTCCAGTTTTAAATCAAGGCATCATGTTTAAAACATTGGAAAGTGCAGATGCAAGGCCTGCTTATATTAGAAATGCTAATGATTAGGGCAGATTGAGAGTGGTACTGATCCCTTAAATGCCTGAGATGAGCAGATATGACAATTGTTGAAACTGGCTACGCGTGCAGTTTTCTGGCATTTTGTAGTGGTGTCTCCCCAAAATATTGCCATGCYACCACCATGCCAAAGTAATGCTTGCAAGGCCACTAATGGGGTATGCTCGCACCTTAAGGTAGTTCCATGATTCATGGTTTAATGATAGTGGCTGCTGGCTGTAACTATGGAATGCATTGTCATGGAAACTACACTTTTCTATATTTACACCAGCACTGGTTATGCGAGAGACAGCACTTGAAAGAAAACCTGTATAACATATAGCTTAATAATGAGGCAGGCAAGCTAGAAATAAACAGATCAAAGGTTTGGTGCTGTTAGGATGGCTCTTTGTCACCGTCGCATGGCAGAGCTGGCAGGGCAAGGTGGGAAGAAGGACGTCGTGATGGAAGAAGAGCCCCAACCAATTGCAGCTGTTGGCTGGGGATTGACCAGCTGCATAAAATAATGGAGCAGGGAAAACTTATAGACTGTCAGAATCAAGGTGGGAGCTGAGTGGATCGAGGATGTRTTGATCACAGATCCTGTTATTTGCAAGAAAGAAATCTTCAGGAATGGAGCTGGATTGCAGCCTTAGCTGGGGAGTGATTCTTTCTGGAGTTTTAACCGAAAAAGCCTTGTCCTTTTATGCAGCCTGGGTTCTTGCAAGCTCTGAGTTGTAAGCACAAAAAGTGAGGAACATTAATGAGAAAATACTATTACAAGTCAAAATTTGACTGCTTCAAAAAAAAAAAAAAAAAAAAAGACGGAAAAAAGTTATTGAATTGAAAGTGTAGAATCAAAGCTGTTTAAGAAAATGATATTTTTTATGGTTTTGAACTTTACAAAGTGAGTAAACTATACTGAAGAAATTCTACGCTCCCTATATGTTTTACACACATCCAATGCACACCCGTCTCTATATACACATATAAATACAAAATCTTAATAGAAGAGGTCTCGTACATTAGAGTCCACAACCTACGGACAGATGCTTTTAGAAAACCTGTGATATTTCCTCTCTATAGTGTTTGACCCAGCTGCAAGCAGAGCCCTCCGTTGGCCACAGGTGCCTCTATCTTCTGTTGGGTAACGAATCTCTATTTTGTGTTTATTGCAGCAAATTCTCGGTTGCATCTTTAGGACAGACTCGCAATTTCCAGGGAGACAAGCTGTTCTCATCTCTTTCGAGAGTTTGTAATTTGCTGGGCAGAGCTTAGCAAGCGGCAAAAAAGCAGGGTCAAGTCACTGCGAAGCTGCTGTGGATTGTACCTTGCTGTCAGCTGTGAAAGACATCTCTTTACCTTCTGTATCATAAGCTTTCCTTCCTATATCTATCTGTGCGCTGCACATATAACTGGAAGATAGATCTGTCCAACTTTTGATATAAATAATCCTCTTAAAAAAGCCCAGCTAGCAGTTTGCACATCCAAATGTTTTATTATGCATTTTCAGCTGGTGCTGCTCTCACCGGAGAAACAGCGAATGCTGTAACTGAATCCAAACCAGTGCTATGCCCCCAAACTTCTTTAATTATTAAATTTCTGCCATATAGGAAGCTGTTTGCAGGTCATCCGATAGCAGCACTAGCTGAACAGTCAGTAGTTGCATTGCCATCAAGGCAGCATTTAGAGAGCATTTTAAGCTTCACACGGGTGCATTTTCCGTGCAACTTCGTATCTTTATTCAGTGTCTCCTGCAATCCTTCAACCTGTCTATTTGTAAATTTGTGCCTGGAGAAAGCTCCCATGTGGCAAGCCAGGATTGGATAAATGTTACTTGTATTTCTCCGGCTGCAAACTCCCAGCATCTGGGATTTTCAGCTTTGAGTACAGTTTGTCTCCTGCTGAGATTCATCTTTTCGGAGGAAGCAAAGGGCATCGCTCCTATGGAGCTGCGATTCATCTGCCGTTTTTTCTCGGGGAGACGTGGGGAAGGGATTCCTTATTGGAATGCATATTGATAAAGGCTGAGGACTCGGCTTGTTAGATAAGTAATTTTTTTTTTTCCTCTTCTCTCCCCACAATGACTATGTATTGCAGCAACTCACTGGCTTTTTACCAAATCAGGAGCTGCAGTATTTTTCTTCCGACGGAATAATTTCAGCCCACTTCAGCTAGCATGACAATCTTATGTGATTGTTATGAGTAGGCGTCTACATCCTTTTACATGCTAATACTGCCACACCTGCTAGTCCCCCTCATTTCCATTCCGTTCCTTTTTTTTTCTTTCTTTCTTTTTTCCCCCCCTTCTCTTTCAATGTAAAAACTAATTTCCCCGAGGAAGGGAAATCCTGAGCTTTGTGATTGATGCTGCATCGTTGATTCATCTACAACGGAGGGAATGGCTGAACGGGACACAGGTAGAGATCCAAGCAGGCTGCTTCTGACCGGCAAGAGAAAAGCTAGCTGTTGAGCAGCATATGTTGCCACTCCATGTRCTGGATGAGCTCCTTGTTTTTAGCCTTCAGGAGGCTGCCACTGCTGCAGCACTCAAGGAATGTGCCCTATTGTTAAAAATCCCGACTGCTTTACACCAATGATTTGCCACTGCAAAGTTGCTTGCACCAACAACACTTTGTCGTTGATGTTTGGATGCAAGGTAGGATGTGGTTAATGTATTTCGATGCATGCCGTAACTCTGTTGAGTGTCTGTGCTGTTTAATTTAATGCTTGCATAGAGATTCTGTGCAAATTTGCGATATGCTGGYGCTAAATGAGGGCTTGCAGCTGATACATTTTAAGTGTTAGAAGAAAATCCAGGAGAAGTAACGGCTGTACCGAGTACAGATTTACATAGGAGAAGCTAATGGATTATGAAGCATTTGTTTTAGTCATGATTATTTACTTAGCTAGCAGTTTTAAGATTGCTAAAGCGTTACTCTATCATTTGCCCAGCTTTATTGATTTTGACATGTATACYGTTATTTTAAAAATACAAACTAGCAAGACTGAATATATATTTTTTCCATTTATATTGCTGGTGTGGCTTTTCACCATAATAGCAATGCTAAAGTATGTAGCCCTGCACTTTTGCATAACCAACAAATAAAATAAGCTCTGTATCTCATTTTTTTAAGTCTGCAGGAATATCTTTAAATAAGTGTATTCTTTTAGATACTGAACAATCATTTAATCTCCCATTTTATATTTAAATCAAAAGGTGGCGCAGTTAGCCAGAGAAGTTTCATTTTTGGCTGCATAATGCAATCCCATCCCAAATTTTTTAAGAAAGATGTGAGATTAGGCTATATTTTTCCCTTTTCCCCCTATATATATCCTGATTTGGCATTAGAGTATAACCAATGTTGCCTGTTATTTTACTAAAACAATGCAAAAGTAATTACATGTTTATAAAAGTTATTATATTTGGGTTAGCAAGTTCAGTTCAAAGATCGCTGGATCAATTACAGTGATTTTTTTAGGCAATTCACATATTTCATCCAATTCCTATTCCGTGCTGTTCTTAGATTCTGGATAATATTAATATTGTTCCTGAATCCTTAGAATAGTTCAGCAAATGAACATTTTTATAAAAAAAAAATAAAGTGGCAGTAATTTTTTTTTAATGACTTTGTATAATTTTTTTAATCCTCAAAACTGGCTCTGCTACAAAAATCAAATCTTGGTCATACAGTTCACAACTTTGGGAACAGCGTTTAATCTTTTTAAATTCCTGTGTGACAGAATAGATTGAATAAAATGAAGCAACTTTATGAAATGTACTGTAAGTCACCTAGTGTTCCTCACCCATAACTCAGCTAGAGGTTAATAAGAGATCATCTTCCGTTTCACATAACATCCTTAAACTCCCAGGAAGTTACGATTTACTGTTCCATCTTCTCCTTCTTCACAAACTCCACTCCATCTGCATCTCTGGTTACTTGAGTATTTCCTATGCTAAAGTTTCTTATGTCTTCACTTCCATTTTAAATGTGCAAAAATATGTTCTRTTAGTGAAGAGGTTGTGATTTAATTGCTGTGTCATGATGCCACTAGTGATATAAATAGCATCCATCAAGAGTTTAATAGTTTGAAAGCTTTTTAAAAATTACACCTTTTTCCTGAGAACAATGAATGTTTCTTCTTAATTCTAACTTTGAAAGTTAAAACCCACTGTTTTCAAGTGTTAAATTATAATTAATAAAGGTGACTTGTTAGTCAGGGGAAATTAAATGCAAGCCACTGTTCTACAAAGGTAGGCCAGTGGCCTGGGGACCGGTATCCAATTTGTATTCTTGCCTGTAAGCATGATTTTCAAAGGATGTTCTTTGATGCACTTAAGCTCTTTTATGATTTTCAGATCCTGTTAAGAAAAAGCAGGATAATAAAAATCATATATTTGAAACTTTCTTCCTCCTCTTTCTTTAGAGCTTCAGGCTCATTACGTTAGTCACAGTCAATGTTTTAATCTTCYTGTGGTGGTGTACGAACTACTTCTTGAATGAAATAAATACTCAGGGGGGGAAAATGATCATTTTCAAAAGATGCGAAGTGAACTGAATTGTCTTGGGTCAGTTCAGCATATGTCATCTTAGTACGCTTTGATAGAGTCATCAAGCATACATAAAATATTCTGTGTAACTACCAGTGTGTATTGCCTGTCCTGCCTTTTGTTCTACGTTTCACATCCATATAAGCTTTTACTTTGGCCTTTTAGGGTTATATTCCTAGTTTTGTGGGTGCACCAGCAAACAAATTGGCAGGAAGCAAGGATGTTTCTTTTGTGGAATGGGATGGTGGTAGGGCACAGAATCAGGAATCCAAGCATGCTCAGATTAAATCTGACTTTTGCAATTGCCTGACTCATGAACTTGGGAAGAAAAGTGATACAGGAGGCCCACACTTTGTYTTCTGGGAGGTGGAGGATGAAGAGGAATAAAAAGATTCCTTTAAAATATAGATAGTGCCTGATAAACAACAAGAGAATATGAAGTTAAGCAAATATCTTCACATGCTAAAATAACCAGGTCAGATTATTAACTAGCTCCATTCTAAAGGACAGTGCAAACTATAAAACTGAAATGTTCCGCTTACTCTTTATTTACAGCCTTTAATTTTAATTTTGTGCCAAATACAGTGTTCATCTCATATGGGCACCAAAGTGGGTAAGAGAAACAGACTGCACCAAAGCATAGCAACCATTTTTATCTGCCCCCAATACAAACATTTTGCAGGCTGCTCACTCTGAACAGGTGGTGCCAGGGAGTTAATTTGGGGGGGCCAGAAGAGGATGTGCATGTCTTGCTATACCATATGTTGCAAAGAAAGTGGCGAAAAAGTCTAACTGTGGCTGCAGGAAGCTTTGTTTTTCAGCCCATTTTCCTAGATATCGATGGCTGACCTTGTCCTGGACCTTCAGTTTTAATGATGTCCAATTTCATSAACTATGACCTTGACACTGCAAAGAGTTTAGAGCAGCTTAATTTGAAAGGCAGACTAMTTTCCATCTGAGATGCCTCTCTTGCACCTCACCTAACCATATATAAGCACCTCACACATCTCTGGAAAGGAAGCACCAGTGTTTCCATCGTAGAGGTGCAAAGGTGAAGCAGGAACGGGGCAGCAGCTTTTAAACCTGACCCTCTGGTGCCAGGATATGCCTTGCAGAATTTTCTTGTTCATAGGCTCCCAGGGCTTGGACCTGTATTTGTTTTCCCTGAGCCCTAGAGCTTTTCCACAGCTACCAGTCTGTTCTGTTAAACTTAGGTTAAAGACCTCTGTTCAGAGGACTGCTAAGACATTTGCTGAACTCCTACTGAAGGTAATGAATCTTGAGCACATGCTTTGTGAACTGTCCCTATAATAGTTCGTGCAGTACTGTGGAAGGGTTACCTCCTCACTCTTAATATCCTGTTCATTTTTCTCTTCATTTCATTTCTCTCTGTTAGAGTGCCAGGAGCTATTTCAGAGTGACTGAAATGTCTCTGAAATTACTCTTCAGTCACAACTCTGACACTCACATGGAAGTGTCTTTTAGTGTTCTCCTCCTTTGTATATTGTAAATACTGATTTAGGAAATTGCATTGGAAAATGAGTGACCTTCCCATTTGTTGATCTTAACTGGTTGTAACTAGGTATTTTGATAAATCATATATATACATATATAGAGAGAGACTATTTTGGATCCGTCCTAGCATAATTTTACTGTTTTACAAAAAGAATAAAATATACCTCCTCCTCTTCCTTACCTCCTTTCCTATCTTCTAGCACATTCATCACTACCAGTCCTCTGGCACAATAGCTGATTTCATATTTCTTCCCCCTACAGTTTCTCTATTTTAGCTGAAATAGCCAAATAAGGACCTATTCCACTGTCCAAGGTGAGTGGGAAAGTAGTACCACTTGTTGATTGCCCAACTACCAAAACTTCCACATCACACCTGAAAACCTTTTTGTTAAATGTTTCACTTGTCCAAACACATAGTGCACATTTGCAAATAAAAATGCAAGATCATTGYGAAACTGATGGTTTTATTAAAACAAGTATTGGAGGTATTTGCTGAATATCTGGACACTCATATTTATTTAGCTCACTATTTTTATGTAATCAAACTGTTAGAAAACTGTTATTTTTGTGCACCAAACTATTAGTAGTTTGAACAGACTCTGTCACTTAGTTCTTAACTGAGGATAGTTCTTTTTCAGGTTAAATCTGGGTATTGAAAGAAACAAAGTCATTTGAGACGATAAGAAAATATTGACTGGACTACGCTCAAAGCATTGCATCCTTAAGGCAATTGGTGCATCTCAGTGAACTCAAACAGGATTTTACATTGCATGGGCTGAGGTGTTTTTTTGATTGCATCTAGGTTTACATTTTCATTTGGACTGGAATCCAAAAAACTATTTGAAATGAATTTATGAAGTGAATCCCCTGGTTCTCTCCATTTATCTTGCTCTGCTCTGCATCACAGGGAAAGCTTGGAGTCTGGACATGGGTTTTCTTTTTGATTGAACCAAGCATGGTTCAATCATGAACATAGTGAATGTTCTCCAAAGTCTATCTGGCATTCAGTTTATAAAGTGAGATTAGAAATAGTTCAAAGTAAAATGCACAAAATATGTTTATTGTGGATGCTGGATCCTTCTCACCAGGTCTTCATGCTATGGGCTCATTCCTATTGCCTTGTACTACTTGCTAATATATACTCTGCTTTTGTTTCTGTATTCCATTCAGATTTTTTGAGATGTGYAAAAATACAATGTATTCATGGTCATTCTTATTTCTATGATCCATCTTTAGAGACTGATAGATTATATAGGGTTCCAGATCTCTCAGAAAGAGTTAAATGCCTATTCATAGGCAATCAACAGAGTAAGTCAGCTGAAACGCTGCTGCCACTTGCTATGCACAAGGGTTGACAGCGGCACTGAGAAACCTCCTTCCACATATTATTCTTGTTAGGCCACTGTGCTAAAATAAAAATGCTCAGCAGTAGAAGAAGTTGCAGAAAAGAGGCAGGATTGCCACTGGCAAGAGGCTCTGAGAATGATCGTTTGTGTCAYGGAGGTTTGGTGCATTAGTGTACAGAGCTTAGGGCAGGGAGAGTTTTCTTCTCTGACATAGCATCTATACAAGTTAGCAAAGGACTACACGCC